CATGCACATTATACTTTTATCACTTGGGGTCGTGTGTAAATTTTCGGGTTTTATGTTCTGGGGTCGGGTACCCGGGACTTTTAACCCCTTTCGGAGCACTATAACTGGGTAGATGTTTTCCCAACGGGTACAATTTCTATTTTGCTGAGTCCATTGAGGATGGGTGCTTGAGAACTCAGCTTATGTTTTGCGAAAAAAAATTTCCAAAGGATAAACCAAAATTTCTTTTAGCATGTCATTAGTTTCGATTAATAAAGAAACTGAAGTTGTCCTTTAACTTCAAATAGTTTCTTAACAATAGAAACTAATGACTCAGAGTTTTAAACGCAAAAAGTTTAGGGAAACAATGATTATACCCAAATTTGCTGTATTTATAATTTAACTGCTAGATGGGTTTGACCAATAATTATAAGGTTGGCTTAAACTTTAGGCATCTAAGCAGGAGCAGTGGAATAACCAATCAGTGAAAAATCACTGACTGCTTACCACGCCCACTAGAATTTCCACTTGTATACATGTGGCCGGATATAAGTGTACGCTATCAGCACTTGTATAATATGCATTTATGGAAAATGACTACTTATAGAAAGAAGTACATATGGGTCGACTGTGGTATATCTCGTGATCTTAATATAGTAATCAGATGATTAAGAGATTATGAGCCAAATGCAGTGAACCCTTTCTAAATGTGTTCTCTCCAGGTATAGTTCTATGTTTACTCTAAATGCATGCTCTAATTTAGTTCCAAATTTTACAGTCTTATACACGTAGAAAATGCTTTCATGATGCACGCCCTTTCTAAACATGTTTTTGAAATTTTTGTCTTATGACCTCGAAAGAGTGCAAATAGAAAAGTTCACTGTATTGGCTACCCAAGATATTTGTAATACGATATAGGTCAATGATCACATTGTACAAAATCAAGCCCAATCTGATATCTTTCAGCAAGTTTAATTCGTAGATTAACTAATATCTGCTTTAAATTAGTAGTACAGTGCTAATCTTATAAGTAAAATTACTAATTACATTGACTCTGTTCTATTTCACACTTATAGCAAGTTGCCGTTCACAGCCAACGTCTCACACTGATTACAGATGATAAATAAAGCTGAAAAAAGGGCGTGATGAATTTGTTTAATAAAATAAATAAACTTTTGTAAAGATTATCCATATTCATTAGAACATTCTTCATTCACGATGAACGAGAATTACAACATTAAAAGTCCACAGATTCCCTGATAAATAATATAGTTTGATTTGCACGAGACAAATTCCAAAAATGAGTATAATCTTAAATCCTGACCATTGTCGTTTAATCATACATCTAATCTTTAATCTTGAAAAAAAAAAAAAAAACGGAAAAGGAAACGCATAATAAGACTATTTACGCCATTTGAAGATCGCTGTATTTCCTATAATTGTGTATATTTGCGTGTAAAAGGAGATATGAAATTTAGATCGCAATATAGATCTTCTGTTCCAGAGTTCTATTTTTTTTCATTCTGTAGTGTAACTTCGACACTAATCTCGTCAGACATACACATGAGATTAAATAGTAATTGTAAGTTATACCTAAAGCATACACCTTTTTCTGCAAATCAATTGGCTTCTGACAAACGCGTATATCTAAATTCATTTAGTTTGGTGTTATTCGATCTAAAAAAGCTCTTCATTCTATTCACAAATCGATCTACAGCATTAAGTTTTTTCACGCCACCCTTCCTAGTGTTTACCCATATAGGTTTAGTCCACCATCTGAGCATCAAACTAGAACATACAACACTAACACTCGAAAAAACCATAGCAGCCCCTGCCATCATTGGATGTAAATATAATCCCCACGGAACAAAGATACCCATAGCAATAGGAATTCCAAGGACATTATACAGAGAAGCCCACACGAAGTTCATTCGAATTCTACGGAAAATTGTACGCGATAAATCTATTGCGGCCACAACATCTAAAAGATCTAACCTCATAAGAACCATATCCGCAGCCTCGATCGCGATATCCGTTCCTGAACAAAGTGCAATTCCTACATCAGCTGCGGCTAACGCAGGGGAATCATTTATTCCATCTCCAACCATTGCAACTACATTACCGGACCCTTCCTTCTGAAGGGACTTAATAATGTTCGTTTTGCCTTTAGGGGACACGCCA